ATCTTGTCTCTCTCTCTCTCTCTCTCTTTTTTTTTTACCTCGCGTGGGGACAAAAGAGAGACGGTGATTGTGCGTCCAGCTCTCCCACCCTAAACTATTTCTTCCTCCTCCCGCTTTCGTTGTGGCCTATGCGGCGGAATATATTCTGGTTCACAAAGAAGGACACGACCCTGTCCTGGGTGGAAAAAATAGGCAGCACACCGTGCGCCGACATGTTGCTCTTAATCCACTTGCTGAGTTCAGTGGCTTTGGGGGTATCCGCCTCGGTCGTCGTGGTCGTCGCGTGCCCCATGAGCTTTTTGAGGCTGCACTCCACCGTCTTCGCCTCCGAGTCCACCACCAGGATGTGTGAGATGGATTTCACAATAATGGAGTAAATCTCGCTGGCCTCCTCCGCAGAAAAAGTCTTTGCCTTCTCCTCCCTGAGAAATATTGCAGGCTCCCTTGGCTGAACGTCGTCCATCAACTCCGCCCCGCTAAGCTTCCGTATGGCCATGCACAAATCTCCGGGGATGGCATCCTTGCGAATGCGCACCTTTCCGTGCTGCAAGGACTCGAGCGACGCAAACCGGACCCCGTCTAGTAACACCATGGACAAATTTCTTGTCTTCATGGCCTTGCAAAAGGCACGAGTGTCATGATCCACGCGCAGACAGGCCCGTATGTTGCCACTCCACACCTTCACAGCGGCGGCGATGACGGAGCTCATTTGACTCGGCGAATAAACGTCTTGACGGCTAATTCCCACCCCGCTAAGTAGCACCGACTTCTGTTGGAAGCGGACGTGCTTGCCCACCGCACCCAGTTCAAGAAGATCGACACTCAAACTGACCGCAGGCATCTCGGACCCTCTTGCAAGGCACTTACCCGTGAAGTTCTCAAGGTTGCAGAAAAATGCCACTGGCCTACCTTCTCCCTGCGTACGACATTCGAGAATGAGCCCGTGCTCGAGAAATGCCCTATCCACAGACGTCTCACTTGGCTTCAAGGCAGGATCAATGCTTAGGCTGACGTTTGAGGCCACCTGCTTTCCATACAAAGGCAACAACTCAAGTAAGAAGGAGGTGAAGACTCGCACGGATTCCAGCCGATCCCACGAGGGCCTCAATAGACCCGCCTCAACAAAGGTCCCATCCATCTTAGAAACAAGCGGCAGAATCAGGTCACTTGACTCAATCGGACTGCCCAAGCTCGTTAAATCTTCAAACGAAGCCTTTGGACTGGCCGCGCGCGGATACGTCGCATTCAACCAGTGGGCGTGGGAGACAATGAGGTCAAGTTTGGTGTTCAAGTCAAAGACGGACAGAAGGTGGAGAAAGGAGAGCATCGGATCAAGCATGGCTTCCTCCACAACTCCAGATGGGCACAACGGCGTTGTAAACACCGCGTAGGGCCGTGTTCTGTAAAAGAACTGATAGAAGGCGCCAATATGCGGGTGCGCCAGGTGACCAACAAAGTAAGCTATAGCAAGATGTGGCTGTGATGGGGCCGCCCATACTCTTGAACGCATGTCAAGAACACACGGAACATCGAACTCACTGAGTGAGGGATTCATAGGAATCATTGAATCATAGCAGGCCACGGGAACGGCACCGTGCAGGTACCCAATGAGGTTAACTGCCTGCATGAGGTCAAGCAAAACGGTATTAGCTAGGGCCTTCGTAGACTCCTTTACTTGTGGTGGGGGCTTGCGGTAGTGCGTCATCATCATCCTCTGAATGCAGTGAAGTACACGACCAGTAATACGTTCCCCGTGTCGCTCAATCGTTTCTAGCGCCTCCACAATGTCCGCCGGGTCGCCAGGGAGATCGGCTGTGATGAGAAGCTCCTCACACGAGCACCGTGAGCTCGAATCCCGTTCAATAAGGCTGGAAATCACATTTGCCATTCTCGGATTCCATTTTAAAAACCATTCCGGCAGCCTATTACCGCGGCTAACCTCAGTCATAATATTAAAGCGCTCCCTAAATCCTTTACCTGCGACAGCAAGCCACATCTCAAGTGCCATCATGCCCAGGCTGTACTCATCCACCTTAAGGTCGTAGTCCTCCCCGCGCTCTTGCTCAGGGGCACAGTACAGAACAGATCCCAAGTTCCCCGTCGGGCAAGAGCCAGCCTCAAACTCAGCAAGGGCATTGACCTCATCCAGAGTAAAGCTGCTGGGATTTCGCTTGACCGATGACGGCATTGTCCGTGCCAAACCAAAATCCGCCACGCGAATGTCCTCGATTTCACCTCCACTCGTCGACTCCTCCATTTCAAAGAGAATGTTATCGGGCTTGAGGTCACGGTGGACGATCTTTTCCCTGTGAAAGTGGGCCACAACCGTCAGCAATTGACGAAAAATTCGTGCCGCCATTTTTTCACCATTCTCAGATGAAAAAATGCTTTTTTCACTCCTGTCAGACTCATCAATCATGTGCCGCAGTGTATTCTTGGAGCACAACTCCATTTGAATATACAGTGTGTGATACTCCTCGGAGTGGGAAATGTGTGGGGTGTTCAACACACACTGGGGGCCGCCGTCGTCGTCGTCGTCGTCGTCGTCGTCGTCTGAGGAGGCGCAGGAGTAACTTTCATCACTCGATGCATTGACCTCACTGCTCGTCTCCGAGCTGTCGGTCCAAAACGACTTCCGTTTCGCCTTAGCGCCCAGGTGCGAAGTATCCACTGCTTCGCGGCTTCCCCCGCTTTCCTCCTCCTCCTCCTCTGAAAGCACAGCATAGCTTCGCAGGTCCTCGTCGCATCCAGGCTCCATCCATGCGTCATAGTAGCGGACAATGTTCTTGTGACTCAGGGCCGCCAAGCTCTGAACCTCCCTTAGCACTTTTTCCGATTGATCCTTTTTGGTGAGAATTTTCTTAACGGCATACAGACGACCATCTACTTTTTTGCGGCAGACAAAAACAGGGGCAAACCCGCCTGAGCCCAACTTGCGTTGCTGAATAAACTCATTCATGTATCTTCCAGGCGAAATGTTTTGAAAGGTGCCACTACCCTCCTCTTGGGACCAGAACCACTTAGTAACATTGTCAGTTCCATCCATGGATTCTCGGACCTTTTCGCGAAAAGCGCGCAGGGTATAATCGTACTTCCAAGGTATGCATTTAAGCAGCTTTTTTGGCATAAGCTTCAGGTCACTTATTAAGTAATGACCTAGTAGCTGAAAGTTATCTTTGGCCTCTTCCACGGATTCCGGATCCTTCAAATGACAGCACTTATTGAGCAGATGGAGCAGGAGAATGCAGAGCTTCACAACCTCCTGCGCCTTTAGCGTCGTCTGCGCAGGTGGAAGTTCCGCAGCGTCGGCGAGTTGCGCATGCCGCGTTGTACACGAACTTTGGACGCCGCTCGTCAGCACCCGTTCCACCACGGATATGATCTGCATTATACAAGGGGCGCCTGCGAGAAGGCAGGGGCTAATGGCTTCGCGAATCTCAGCCTGCATCTGATGCACCTCCGACTCCCCCAGCGCCAAGCCGCTCTCGGGCGTGACCCCCTCCGGGAGCCGTATCCGCACTCTGGGGGCAACGAAGGGGTAGCCGGCAACGACGGCGACCTCGAGCACCACACGACGCTTGGGGTTTGACTCCGCCTCGAGGGTGAGTAGCACCTTCGGGTAGAATCCCTCGCGCTCCACGACCTCGAGGCCGTCGTAGTTCTGCTTCAGGAACTCGATCTCGTCGGTGATGGTGTCACTGACCTCCGTCTGGCCCTCTGCGATAATATCGAAGACAAGACATGTGTTGGAGCGTTCCTCACCCGAAACCATAAAGCAAAAAAAAAAAAAGAAAAAAAAAGTGATGCGGGTGCCTCCTCCTTTTATTCCCTTGTGGCTACTTGCGTCTCGCGCTTGTGCTCGTCGCTTTCCGCTGGTCGCGTTTTGCTGCTCTGCGTGTGCGGAGTTGAAAACGAGGAGAAAAAAAAACGGAAAGAAATGGGGGCGCATCAAATGCCCGTCAATAAAAAGGAAACCGTAATCGCCCCCTCCCAGTAGAACATGAAGGAAAGCCAGAGAAACACCCCAAAAAAGCAACCCCAGAGAGAGAAAAAACAAAGTACGGGGCCTCTTCCTTTAGAAGCAGCAAACGCTCTGCAGTCACTCGCCGTGGGGACTTCACCGTGAAGTGGGCGCTAGCCAGATCCACCGTGGTGCGGTAGCCTCGCCTGACGGCATCCCGGCGCCGCATACTCGACTCACGCATTGTCTTCTCCGCATGACATGCCACACATAGAGTTTGGAGGTTTTCCATCGTCGCCTGCCCACCGCCCTGACTCACGGGCAAGACGTGATCCGCATTCCAGACGTTTCCGGCAACAGGATTCTCGATAATTCGGTTAAAAAGTGCCGGATACTGTCGCATGTGCGGATGCATGCGGTCAAGAATGGACTCTCGCTCTCGCCCCGTCGTTGCGGCCGCCAGCAGCGCACACAGCACCTCGCAATCCACGTGACAGTGGGAGCAAATGCCATTGTCCGCCTCCCGAACACTTCGTCGAACGGCAGACCCGGAACGTTTAATATAAAACGCCGCACGACAGCGACCACTGCAGAACATATCGATGTCCTTTTCGATGCATACAACTTCGCCCGGTGACGGGGAGAATGGACACGCAAAAAGACCCTCGCACTCCAAACAGAGCGGCACGTAGGCCTCCCCCGACGCACAGAGCAATGCGGCGTAGAAGGAGGACGGGTACGAGCATCGATTGACCTTCCAAAAAAAGACTCTTCCCAGTACGGGAGCCTCGCGGGTGTAGCGGAGGAACGTCTTGCGCCGGGCCTTCACGCCCCGCCATGAGAAATTAGATGGCAGCCAAGCAGCAGCCAACCTCAGTCGGCGACGCTCAAAGAATGAGAGGGACTCTACATTCAAGATAAACTGCCTTAGCTCCTGTGAGAAGTCGTCCGTGAGAGGCCAGTGCTGCTGTGCTTCATCGAGGGAGAGGCTCAGTAAATACCTCCCGCCGTGTCTCACGTGAATGCGTCCGGTGTTGGGGCTAATTCGAAAAAGCAGCGGCGCCGCAGTCGCAAGATTGAAAGATGCTGTTGCGTTTTTCACCACGGCCAGGTTTGCCTCCGTGACGTCGCCAAACGTCTCCGTGTAGCCTGCGTAGCTTGCAGTGAGCGAGGCGGGCACCCCATCGGTGGTGCGCCGAACCGTCTGGAACGACCGGCAGAGGCGTGCGAAGAGGTTGCCATCGAAAAATGAATTGGCCCCCACAATATAAAAGAAAACGACTTGCCTCATTTGGCCTGGGCGATGCAGTCGATCCTCCGCCTGCTGCATCCACGTCGCGTCGGGCGGAAGCTCCGCAAACAAGGCACAAGAGGCGCCTGTCAATTGTATTCCAACGGCACAAGCGGTGATGCCTATAATCGCAACTCGAGTATCGCCCTGGTTAAACCATGACAGCGAGGTCGCCCGTGCGGACATTGGGGTGCCCCCATCGATGCGAATCCATGAAACCTTCCGCGTACCCACATGCGTCGTCAAGGCATCCAGCAATTTAATGTGGTGTGCAAAGAGCACAACTTTGGTGTACTTTTTAAGAAGAAAGTCAACCACTTCCATTATTTCGTCGCGCTTGCGTTCCCAGCTGAGGGAATACTCCTTCTGAAAATAAGCTTCTCTCCGTTGACCATGCACCACCGTCTCCGGAAGACGCAAAAGAATTCGTAGCTTGGAGGGCAAATCAATTAGCGTTTCCGACTTGAGACGACGGATCATGCACGTCGCTGCAAGCAACGAGTGCAATTCCACGTTGCGTACACACTCATAGGCTCTAAAGTGAGGCGAGAAGTCCGTGCGACAGTACCGCAGCGCAAAGTCAAACCGGGTTTGGCCAAGCAACCCACTGCAAAGAGTATCAATTTGATTAAACAGGTCAAAGGGGGAGGTCAATGAGGGTGTTCCACTCAACAGGAGGCAGTAGTTTGCGCGTTTTCCAAGTTCGCACACCAACGAGGTGTACTGGGCATCATTGGCGGCATCCGGCGTTGTGTGAAGCGTGTGGCTTTCATCCACAACGACGCAGCTCCAGTTCCGGCTCCGCATCTGCGCGGCAAGTATGGAGGCCATGTGATAGCTTGTGACGACCACCTTGGGGGCATCGCTTACAGAGAGAAATTGACTGGAGGAGGTTATAACGTGAATGTCTTCCAGTTCAACCGTCTCCGCTAGCCACTTTTCCACCTCTTCCACCCACATATGGCGCAAGGCAGCCGGACACACGATAAGCGTCGGAAACGCACGAAGCGCCACAACGGTTCCAATCGCTTGGAGAGTCTTGCCTACTCCCATCTCATCAGCAAAGAGTGCACGACCACCAAACTCCAACGCCCTACGAATGCCATCGATTTGATGGCGATGTAACGCCGAAAAGAGTCTTGCAGGCACCAGCTCACTTAAATGAAACGGACTGGTTACTCTTGAAGCCAGGGCTATTTCCCTACAACGCGCCGTGGGGGCATTGACGTAGAGACCATCGCCACTGGGGCCTGTCACCATCCTCAGTTCGTGGACCAGCATGTCTAGGGCATCAAGAGGGAAGCGAAAGCACCCTCCCCTCGTCGTGGTCCACTGGTCCAAGCTCAGCGGCAACCCTTTGAGGATATGCAGCGCGTCCTCCGGCGTTGTGTTCATGATGCGTAGTTCAACAGAGTTACTTTGCAGGTCCAACTCAACCTGGGCAACCCTCATGCGATCGGTTGCAACACGTCCAGAGATGACAGGGAGAAACTCAACAGGCCTCGTTCCGGAACGAACGTCGGTCACGAAGTCACGAAGAACCTTCTGAAAGTCTACGAATACACCAGGGCAACCGCATGCAAAGACACAGCCAAACCGAGACTGTTTAAACCTTCTCCAAGACTTGCAGTTCACGCAGTATCTTTGCCCATCTGCAAGGAACTGCTCCATTCCCCGCAATGCGCCTCCATGTATGCTGTAACCCAAGGAAAAGAGAAGAGAGAAAGAAAGCTGAGGAACAAAAATAAAAATAAATTTTTTTTTTAGGAGGAGGGGAATATTATTTACCACTCGAGGCGTGTGTCGTGCTATGCCGCTTTTCCGAAAGTGAAACACGGGACAACATCGTCGACATTGTTCAACACATGGTATAACGTTGGCGGCGCATGCAGAAATATCTCCCCTCCGAAGCTATTTAAGGTGAGACGAATGCAAAGACGCTTTAGAAAAGTACGGTTCATTCCCTGATGGTGGGGAACCAATGGTTCCAGCACATCCACCATGCAAAGGAGTGAGGTGAAAAGATACATGCAAGCAAGAAGCAATAGACGCCGCCTCCGCAGCGGGGAGCCAAGGCAAAGACAACAAAAAAAGTAGCCGAGGCAGTGGGCTAAGTAGAAGGAAAGAAAGAGAGGGAGAGAAAGAGAAAAAAAAAATTAGTAAAATAAAATAATAATAAAAGGTTCCTCTTCATATTTGATACCTCCCACTTGAGAACCAAAGAAAGAAGGAACAACTAGCAAAGGAACCGAAATAAAGCCCACAAGCGGGGCCGCAAAGAAAAAAAAAGTACAATGAAAGTAATAAGCCTTGTCGTTCCAATATAGAGACTAACCCGTAAAAAGGACCTCCACAACCTGTTGCATTCCCGGATCATCTTCAAATGACATTTTACACTGGGCGTCAGCGGTGGCGTAGTCTGCAGGGTTGCGTACCACCGACACCACGGTGAGATTATTTTCATCATTTATCCCTGCAAGTGCGTGTTCGGCGTTCCTTCTCAATTTGCTTAGCGCCATCTCTCGTACTCGAGAGTCAACCGTCTCCACGTGTTGCAGCTTACCGTCTCGCAAATACAAAACTCGATGTGCGTACGGTTTCATGTGCACATCGTGAGTCACCATAACCATTGTGAGCCCATTCTGACGGTTAAGCTTCGTCAGTATATTCATCACCAGTATTGTGTTCCTCGTGTCAAGATCCCCAGTTGGTTCGTCCAAGAGAAGTATTTCGGGATCATTTGCCAGTGCTCGTGCTATAGTCACACGTTGTTGTTCGCCACCTGACAACATGGAAGGAAAATGATGCAAACGATCACCAAGACCAACGGAAACTAGAAGATCTTTCGCCCTTTCTTTTATTTCAGCGGCCGTTCGCGTCCCTGCAATTGTCATTGGAAGAGAAACGTTTTCCAACGCGTCCATAGAGGGCAAAAGATTAAACGATTGAAATACAAACCCCATTCGGTGACAACGGAGGTGAGCAAGCACGCTGTCTGGGGTTTGCGCTGTGATTCGCTGACCAAACAGATATAAATTGCCTTTCGTCGGCAGATCGATGGTTCCAAGAACATTGAGCAAAGTACTTTTTCCACCTCCACTTGTCCCATAGAGAAGAACAAATTCACCCCTTTTTACGTCCACAGCAACCCCACGGAGAGCAGGGACACCTTCGGAGCCAAGCAGATACGTTTTATGGACATTTTCACACGCCACTACAGACGCGTCTTCTTCGGATTCCATCTGCCCAAACGCTCAAAGAAATTCTATACCACACGCAAACGCACACATAAAAAAAAAGAATGATAACCACAGCCAAGACGTCTCAAGCAGTAGACACATATTTTTGACCACATCGCCACCTTGCCCATCACAATAGAGGCAGGAGGGAGGAAGAATGGCGCAATAAAAGCAGATCAAATAAAAAAAAAGCTTACACACACACACCAGATTGCACTTTTCAGAATAAGTACTCCACCTCCTCCTCCTGTTTCCCGTACTATGACCAATACTAAGACGCTGGACACCCTTCCTATAAGAAAACTTTTCGTATTCATCTTCCTATCGGCACACATAAATCAAAGAAGAATAATAAATAAATAAAAGCTCCCCTAACCAACTTCAATACTCAATATCCCTCATGAATGCTATCAGCCAAGGGTGGCTTATGTTCCCCACCATCCATCATCTCCTGAGGCGTTTTCCTACCCATCGCCTTTCTACTTGGTCGTGGAGGCTCCTTAATATACATGGGTTTTGTTCGAATTTCCCGGTTGTTTTCTGCATAGCGGGCAAACTGCTCACGAGCCTCACGTTGGTCTTCTAGGTCCTCCCAAGTAAGTTCCCATGAATCCCTATGCTCTATTGCAAGAAGAACCATATGTTTTGCGGCCTTTACGATATCCTCTTGTTCCTTCTCAGTTAAATCCCTAATTTTTTCAGCTGGATTTCCAGACCACATTTCTCCAGAAGGAATGATAGCACCTGACTGAAGTACAGAGGCCGCACAAAGCATTGAACCAGATTCCATCTTTGCTCCTTTCATAACAATAGCGTTTGCACCCACAAATGAGCAGGAAGCAATATCCGCCGACTCAACTATGGACATGGGTTCAATAGTTGTCCACTTTCCCACTGTGGTGTTTCCGCTCACAACGGCCTTTTCCTGAACGTTACAACTTTCACCAAGATAGATTGTTTCACCCTTTTCGGCGCGAAGAATGGCATTATAGCCAATGTAATTTTTCCGTCCTATTCGAACATCACCAGAAACAAAAGCACTGGGAGCAATAAACACGTTATCCATTACAGTTGGACGCACACCATTAACAGTGAGGAGCCTTGGTATGCGATAGAGCGTTTCCTTGGGCTGGATTCCTAGCATCTTGTCACTCAGTCCTATCACTTTTTTCGCCATGGAGGAAAGCCGAGTACCCAGTCCGTCCAAAGCGGAAGCCAGTCTGGTCTGCCTTTTTATGGCCCAATCAGGTAATACCGTTGGCATTTCTGCTGCAGCTGCCAGGACTAAACACCGTTTCATTGTCTCAGGCTCACCTCACTAGAGAGACAACAGACACAATCAAAAGGAAGAAGAAGCAATTGAAAGCAGTAACATTTATATGCATGTATATGTATGGAGTCAAGACAAAGTAGCTGAGGCTCCGATTCAGCAGTGATGGCAAGAAGAAGGGTAATAGCAAGAAAAACCCCACCCTCCACAGCCAAAAAAAATTCTTGCCCCTTCTCGCACTTGACACTCCCCATTGATATAAATCTTCGGCTTTTAACGAATACATAAACGAAAAAGAAAACCCACATACACACACAGAGACGTGTCTCCACCTTCTTTGATTCTCAGAAGTAGTTCCCTATCCACATAACAAGAGAGTCGATCAAACCAAGAACGACAAAAAGTCCACCAACGATGCCGCAAAGTTGCACCAGAAAATGAGAAAACGATGGTCGCTTGAAGTAATTATTCACCTGAATTGGCTGGAACTCAAACCCAAAAGAAACAGAGGGTAGTTGTCCAAATCCGATGGGTATGAATCGATGATTCCACTGTACTCCATACTCGTAAGTTGCATTCAAAACTGCATTTTTCCAACTAGGATACGTGGTAGGTACCACTTTTAAAAAGTACCTGATTTCAGAAAAACGCCTTTGGGCGTCAAATTCATGGCCATTGAGTGGGTAATGAACACCACGACGAGAAAAACGGGTAACACGTTCATCGCCAATAGTAAGTTTATTAATTTTGTGGCTTGAATCAAACCGCATGACATCCTGAATTTGGAAACCTCCGCCCACTCGTTTCGGTGCAAAGTAAAGCCTCCCACCGACTTTCCTCAGCCGCAAGGTCCCCTTGTAATTACATCCTGGATTGAGACGCGACAACTCGTAAATGCATTGCTCAACCTCATTTTTCGGTGGTCTTGGTAGATTATTTTGGTCATGTGCCTTCATGACTTCCTCACATGAATTGCAGCAAAGCTTTTGATCTTTTCCAATAGGTGCTTGATCCTTACCAAAAAAGCAACTCCCACAAAACTCCGGTGAGTTCGGATCATCTTTGGCTTCGTAACGAGAGATACCGTGTTTGCCAATACCCTGGCGAGGACCAATAAACGCGAGATGTCCCTTTGAATCTACAGGGGTTTTAAGAAGGTTCCGTGTGACATTAAGCTTAAATGTTCCCGTAACATCCAATATATCCAGTGAAATTTCATGGCAGGGTACTTTAGGGAAGGTGATGTCCAGATTAAAGTCTACTTCTGTAGCTACACTTGTATCGACACTTAGCTCTGTTTTGTATGCCTCTCGCCCCAGCATATAAGAGCAAACCTCCCAAGAAACAAGCAATGCAATGACAATCACTGTAACAAGGCTCACCACTGCACCGCGATACGTCTGGACGCGAGTGTAATCCTCCTTTGGTTTGGGAAACAGATCCACCGCTGCCACCTTCTTCAACAGCGGTCCCTGAGAAGGTTCTTCTGTGACTAAGAGGGACCTTCGTCGAAGAACGGACATCTTTCTACAAGGAGAGGAAAAAAAATATGAAATGACTCTGGACTCTCAGAACTCTAGTCATACGATAGCAAGAATAAAGAAAGCAACAACAAAAAAAAGAAATAATAACAAAGGAGAGAATAAGTAAGCAAAAATTAAAGAGGGAAAAAACCACAACACAATCTACATAAAAAGAAAAAGATCACATGAACAACTTGTGGTAACCGACAAACACAAGATGTATACAAAAGAAGATGCAACATACAAGACAAGGTTTATAATCCACAGGCCTCTCCACCGGGCATCCTTCAAATATAATCAACGGTCGACACTTAAGTCCGCAATAAGAGTGTCACGACGACGCAACTCGTTTTCTGCGTAACGATAATAATCTTCCATTTCTTTCCGGCATTGACTCAGTTCCAATTCATAATGCTCTGAAAACTGTTTCTCTATCTCCTTCACAACAGATGTGAAATCAGCTTCACTGAGAGTCCCTCCAGTGGCGAGCTTCAACCTGCTTATCTCTTCAAGCAGTGTGCCATTTCTTTTATGCTCTGTTGAGAGCAAATCCCCAATATCAAAAGCGCGTTTCTCTGCCTCCTTTAGCTCTTCAATAAGTTGTTGTTTTTCCACTTCTAACACTCGAATACGGTTTCCCAAGTTAAATACAGAAGAGCGCAGACCAGAACATTCATTTCTCACTGCCAATAATTCAGTCTGTAAAGAGTCCCTAGTAAGCTGGGCCTTATCTCTTTGACGAGCCTCATTGGAG